TGGAGTTTCAGCTTCACCATCAGTCCTTTCAAAGAATATTCTGGACTTATTTCTTTTAGGATGGACTGGTTGGATCTCCTTGCAGTCCAAGGGACTCTCAAGAGCCACCGCCTCCATGTGCTCCTAGTCCACTCTATGTAGTTGCACAGATGTATAGAATTCTCTGGCAACCATGTGTGTTGCACAGAAGCAACTTTGCTGAGTTATGGATATTTTGCTGGTTGTAGACTGAAGGAGAAAGACAAAGCAACGTAGGCTGCTGTGATGCTGACACCATCCTATCATTTCACATTAGTTTTTAATTGTGACATGTGTACCATATTAATATGTTAATAACAGAAAATATTGAGAATACACAAATATATGGGGACCTGTACTATCTTCTCATTTTCTATAAATATAAGACTGTTCTAAAAATAAAATATATTTAAAATCTATCTGTAATGGAAAAAAAAAATCACCAACTTTCATGAGTGAGAAAAATCATATCTACTTGCTTCGACCTTTGCAGATTAGGATATCAAATACAGTGAGAGCAGGTAGGTAAAACTAAGATAACATCATTTCATTTATTGATAATAGGAAATTCAGTCTTCCCAGGACCATGGTGGAGGATAAAATTAAATTATCCAGGGAGTTAGGTAATGATAAAATAATAGAAACAGTAAGGTTAAATATTTTTTAGAGAAATATGTTCGAAGCCACATGGACAAAAACTGGTTATTTTTCAAAGACGAGTAGGTACAAGTGATGGTAGAGAGGGAGAAGCAGTCGGTAAAGGAAGAGAATGAACTCTTCAAAATATCTACTATGTCCCAAGCACTGTTTGGTTTTATATACCACATCTCACAATTAACCCATAAAGCAAACCTATATGGTAGCTACAATTCCCCACATTGCAAATGAAGAAAATTAAGCTCAGATATTTTTGAAATAAAAAATACATGGAAGAGGTGGGAATCAAGCATACTTGTTTTAGAATTCATCTCTTAAACCCTTCCTGCTAACTTGAACAGATGCTGAGAATAATGGAGAGTAATGGAAAAGTAATACTACATTATAATTAAAGTGCATCGTATCTACACTTTCTCCTTAAGCCTTCATCTTGATATTTGTTTTAAATGTCATCTCTTTGCTGATAAATTTCAAATGCATATCAGGCTTTAAATTTGCCTAAACCCTAGACTTCTAAAACTGTTTGGTATCTCACCTGGATGTTTGTTTAAATGGTACTTCAAACTTATATCCAAAAGAGATCTGTTAATTTCCCCAAGCCTCCATTTTTAAATTAAAAAAAAAACTGTAATTCTTCTCCAGTCTTTTCCATATCAGTATATATCACCACTATCCACTCAATTGTTCAAGTCAGAAACCCAAATCAAATGAGTTTCCTCCTTTTCCCTCAACCTGCTGCACTCTTTACAGTTCTCATTACAGAAAACAGCCTTAAACTGTTCACTTCTCTCTCAAATTCGCTGACACCACCCTAATCCAAGCTGTTATGATTACAGAAACTTCCTTATTCATCTTCCTCTCAGTAATTCTCCACACCACAGTCAGAGAATATTTTCAAAGCATAAATCAGATTATGTTCTTATAGCAATCATACTCCTTTAGTGACTTTCAAATATTTTTCAAGTCCAAAGTTTATTGAACTTTACTGTGACCTAATGGTTCCTACCTGACCTGGCTTCTATCTCTTCAAACTTGTTTCAACCATTTCTTCTCTGTTTGCTTCTTCAAATACATGACAATGTTTTTTCCACCTCAGAACTTGGATTTATTGTTCTGTTTTAATCTCTTATCTCTCATTTTTCAACTCCCTGATTTATCTACATCTTTCAGATTTCAACACAAAGATCACCTTCACAGAGAGGCTTTCCTTCACTATTCCATCAAAATTACTTCTCATTCTTGTTGTAGGTCCAAGTTATTATCCAATCATCTTGTTTCCCTCATGATGTAATACATTCTATAATACATAATATAATCATCTTTTTCGGAGTCTTACCATTATCCCTTCAGGCAGATTTCCAGTCAGACTTCACCATTTACTCAGTGGTGGCTTCATAGAAGGTAGCATTAGCACCTCAGCAAGCCTCATCATTACCACATCCAGTGGTTTCTCTTTCCAGGACCCAAGCAAGAAGTTTCCTGACATGTTTCTCTGTCACCCAGTATGAGGTTTTTCCAGTTGTCGGACATAGCCTATGGTACCTCAGCAAACTTCCTACCATTCTCGCAGCCACAGAACCACAGCCTTCAGTAAAGTAAGTTTGACCTCATCCTTGGTATAGAGGAAGAAATGTTTCCAAGTTTGTTCTTCCAGTGAGTACTGTGTCCTGAGCCTTAGAGGTAGTGACTATTCTCTAATCTACTACGTCTATATTCTTTAAAGTTTGATTTATTCCTATCAGTATTTTTACCTGTTTTTATTACTAAGTTCTTTGCACTAAACTTTATGTATTACTGGGGAATAATTTTGTTTCCAAGCTCAACTTTGAATGATACACTGACACATAGGTTTCCACAGTTGTTATATTGATTTGTATTGCTAGAAATATAACCTTTTTCCATATCCTTGCTACAAATACTATTGTCAAATGTTTTTATTTTAGCCATTCAGATGAGAATATCAATCTTTTAATATGTTCTTTATTTCAGCATTCATAGTTCTTGTAAAATCTTTCTCTGCTAACTCCTATTTCTAGGTAATCTGTGTGTCTGCTTCCATGGTATGTTCCTATTCTTAGTTACTGGTCACTATCTTGCACCTCTTCACATGTCTAGTAATTCTTTATTTGTGCTGTGCATTTTGTATAAAATAACCAAGGAGGCTCCAGCCATCTTCCATCTGAAAGTAAACCCTTTTCTTGATTAAATAGATACGGGAAAGAGGTCATCAATTACATCTAACCTGGAATTCAGTGGAGTGAAAAGCCGATCAGAAGTTTAGAAAGATTTGCGCTATCTTACTCTGTAAGAATGGTCCTCTTAAACTTCTGATGGAATATCTTGCAGGTCTACATATCTTCAGTCCAGTAAGCCTAAAGGAGATTCCATTCTGTCCTTTATAGTTTTGAATATAGGTCTTCAGTTTTCTACTTGTTATAACTCTAAATATGCCAGGTGTCTGGGGTGGGGAGGTCAATTGTGTGTTTTCCTCCAGTGTGACTTTGGCTTCTGAGCTTCCCAGGTTTACAGATTTCATGCTGCCTTTTAGAATCCCACTTAAAGCTCTCTACATCAGTTTAAATATCTCAAAGGGAAACTTGATCACATGGGACCACTTCTTGTTTCCAAGATGTCATGCCAGCCAACTATAACCACCAAAATGCTCAAGCGCCTCTTTATTTCAGTAGAGTTCTTATTTGGAGTAGAGGGTGCAGGGATTGATTCTCAGTCCCTAGTTAGAAAATAGCTACAAGAGAGAAAATGGCCAATATTTCTAAGGTCAGTTTAAATGGATTGCTTATTTTTCAGAATTGAGAGTAATCTGGTCCTTATAGCTTCTGCAGTTGTCTGATAAATATAATTTATCTGGTTTCTTCTACTGTTTTCAGTTTGAGTGTCAGGCTACCAAGAACTTCCCCATCCTACTTGGAGGCAGGAGTACCCCAAACTGTTTGCTTACATTTCCTTTAAAAGGGAGATTTTATCTGAACATTTTACAGCTATATTTCCAATACCAATCAGTTTCTACAACATAAACGGTGCTAAGGAACTGCTTGTTGAACTTCTGAATAAATAAATAAATAGTACATAAAAAGTCCCTGGTTCTGCTAAGTACTCATAAGTCTGGATATGCAAGTCTGGGGGAAAGAGCTAGGAAAATATGAACTACTACACAAACTAGAGGAAGCTCTCAAGGACGATGTTGGTGAAAAAGTGAAAACAGAGATGAGAAAGGATATGGGTGATGAAATGGCTCATGTGGCTGTTAATATAACCCTATCTATATAAATCACAAAATTGTGATTTGAATGGACTTCCTGAGAAAACACAATGAAAATACAGTTTTACATCTACAGTGATGTGATAAAGACAGAATCATAATGCAATATGCTGGAGGCAGAGAAAACCATAATAGAATAAAAAGTCCTATCCTCTTCCTAACACCCACAAATGATTAGCAGAAATTTTGAAGAGATATATGAGTTTCCACAAATTGTGAGATTAGCAGTTCAAGTTAAGGTGAAGTATCTCCTTGAGTCCAAGAGAATGCCAGCAGACATACAGGTTACCTGAATGATACATGCATGAAGTATCACCTTGAGTCCCAAGGGAATGCCAGCAGACATACAGGTTACCTGAATGATACATACCTGCAGTTAATCCAGATAAACTAATATGTCTGAGAACATGTGCTTGCAGAACACTTCAAAAGAGGATAGTGTAAACAAATGGCCTAATATATAACTTGTAGAATAAGTAAAGCCAGAGTGGTGAACAGAAATTTGTATTTACATAACAAGTCTTCACAGTTCCAATGAAAAGTTAACTCCTATGATGGAAGACTTGTAGCAGACACAGTCATCGTCTGTACAAAGACGAATTCTATTCAGAAGTAAATAGAGGAAAACATGGATTTTTATTTTATTTGCATAAATTTCACTTTGTCTCATTAAATAATAAGCCTGCTGACTATAACCTTTTATTAACATCATATGGGAGTAGGGTTATGGCCAGGGACAAACATTTGTTATTTTTATTGTTCAGTTGCTAAATTGTGTCTGACTCTGCAACCACATGGATTGCAGCATGCCAGGCTTCCCTCTCCTTCACTGTCTCCCAGAGTCTGCTCAAATTCATGCCCATTGAGTTGGTGATGCTATCTAAACATCTTATCCTCTGCCACCATCTGCTCCTTTTGCCTTCAATCCTTCCTAGCATCAGATTTTTTTTCCAATGAGTTAGCTCTTTGCATCAGATAATTAATTTACTATGTGTTGTAAATTACTTTTCAATAGTACAGGGGAAAAGAAACCTGTAAATAATACCTTGTACAAATGTTGAATCCTGATACCAGCCGTCAAACCAACAGGTTCTTCTTCAAAATAAGCATTTTGAACTGTACTAACAACTTGCATATCTTCCTTTTTCCTAATGCTTGTAGGCCTTCCAAGCCAGTAGCCTTTCTAGGAAAAGAAGAAAAACAGAATCTATCATGTGACAGAAAAATAAATTTTTCCTAAACTTGAAAACATTTTGACTCATTTCATTTCAGTTTTGAGATGGGTTGCAGCAGATAACTTGAAAGGAAATTTGGAAGCAAATAGCCTATAATTTTAATTCCTAGAGAAGAACTACAAAATATGCTATTTAAAATGTCACTTTAATATGGTTCAGCAAAAAGCATTCTATCATTCTGAGTCAGTCTCTTTATTTGGACATGTGACCTAAAGATCCTTAAAGATTGCTAAGACCCTTTCAATGAATTTGTGAGTTCAAAACTGCTTTCATAAAAGCACTTTAATATATGTATTCTTTTTCATATTCTGTTCCATTATGGTATACTCCTAGAGAATAACTCCTAGAATGTTTGGTTTTGAAGGCCAGTGGGGTTTACTTTCAGAAGTCTTAGGGGGCTAGGGGAAATAGACACTTCACTTTCAGAGGGCACACAAAAAAATCACATTCTCTAGGACCCAGAGAAGAAGCAGTAATTTGAAAGAAGCCTGGGTAATGCTGTTGGGTCTGCTAATCTTGGAGAGACCCCTGGAAAGGCATGAGGCCACTGCAGCTCACCTTGTGGATACAGACACTGGTGGCAGCCATTTGTGAGAGCTTATTGTACCACATGGACACTTGCTGGCAAGCACCATTTTGGAATTCTTTTTCTAGCTGATTAGCCTTAGGGCCCAGCAATGCCCTTGCCCAATAGACTGTAAGAATCAGCTAGGCAGCAGATGGTCTACCTCCAGACTTTCTGAGCTCACAGCACCAGCAGTATGTCTCTGCCCAACTCTAGGGGCCCAGGACCTGGCCCCACACATCAATGTGCAGGCATTACAAGCAGGACCCCCAGAACCATGCAGCTGGGCCCTGTTGCACTCACAGGTGGGTAGGTATCAGCCCCAGAATCCCTAGCTCTGCCCACCAGTGATCCTGCTCTAGCCTTGGGAATAGTCTTACAGGGCAGTGGGTGCATACTAACCACAGGACAACCAAAGCCCCACAGCCTGTGGTCTGAGCCCAACTACCAGCAGGCCAGCACCTGCCCTAGGACTGGCTGGGCCCTGTGCCCAGTGACAGGTCAACAAAGCTTTGAGACATGCCAGATCCCACAGGCAGCTGTGTCAGGAGCCAGTCCCAGGCACCAACAGTCCAATAACAATTCTGGGATCCCTGGGTCCCACAGCCAAACCATAGGATCTAACTCTGCCTACCAGTGAATTTCTGAGTCAGTCTCTTTATTTGGACATGTGACCTAAAGATCCTTAAAGATTGCTAAGACCCTTTCAATGAATTTGTGAGTTCAAAACTGCTTTCATAAAAGCACTTTAATATATGTATTCTTTTTCATATTCTGTTCCATTATGGTATACTCCTAGAGAATAACTCCTAGAATGTTTGGTTTTGAAGGCCAGTGGGGTTTACTTTCAGAAGTCTTAGGGGGCTAGGGGAAATAGACACTTCACTTTCAGAGGGCACACAAAAAAATCACATTCTCTAGGACCCAGAGAAGAAGCAGTAATTTGAAAGAAGCCTGGGTAATGCTGTTGGGTCTGCTAATCTTGGAGAGACCCCTGGAAAGGCATGAGGCCACTGCAGCTCACCTTGTGGATACAGACACTGGTGGCAGCCATTTGTGAGAGCTTATTGTACCACATGGACACTTGCTGGCAAGCACCATTTTGGAATTCTTTTTCTAGCTGATTAGCCTTAGGGCCCAGCAATGCCCTTGCCCAATAGACTGTAAGAATCAGCTAGGCAGCAGATGGTCTACCTCCAGACTTTCTGAGCTCACAGCACCAGCAGTATGTCTCTGCCCAACTCTAGGGGCCCAGGACCTGGCCCCACACATCAATGTGCAGGCATTACAAGCAGGACCCCCAGAACCATGCAGCTGGGCCCTGTTGCACTCACAGGTGGGTAGGTATCAGCCCCAGAATCCCTAGCTCTGCCCACCAGTGATCCTGCTCTAGCCTTGGGAATAGTCTTACAGGGCAGTGGGTGCATACTAACCACAGGACAACCAAAGCCCCACAGCCTGTGGTCTGAGCCCAACTACCAGCAGGCCAGCACCTGCCCTAGGACTGGCTGGGCCCTGTGCCCAGTGACAGGTCAACAAAGCTTTGAGACATGCCAGATCCCACAGGCAGCTGTGTCAGGAGCCAGTCCCAGGCACCAACAGTCCAATAACAATTCTGGGATCCCTGGGTCCCACAGCCAAACCATAGGATCTAACTCTGCCTACCAGTGAATCATCACTATGTCTAGGGCCTGGTCTTACCCACCAGTGTGGGGGCAACAGCCCCAGGGTCTCCTGGACCCCAACTCCACTTATCAATGAACCAGTAACAGGCCCAGGGCTCCACAGGGTTCAGAATCCAGCCACCTCGTGACCTGGCCCCAGAAACTAGTGTTCAATAGCCCCTTACCCAAGGAAGGGCCTGGCAACCAACCAGACCAAGGCTAACAAAGCCTGCCAGATTACTCATGGTAATTAGCCCACCACAACAGAAGGACCCACATAGCCTAAATAGGGGGCACACCTAGAACATACAGCGCTGGTAATGAAAGGTGAGTGTGCTGCTGGGATGCATTAGACTTCCCCTTCAAGGCCACTTCTCCAATGTTGAGAAATGTAACTAATATATCAAGTACACAGACATAAAAACAGCAAGTTAGGGGAAATTATGTGACAGAGGAATATGTTCCAAATGAAGAAACAATATAAAAACCCAGAAGAACTAGGTGAAGGGGCAATAGACAATCTACTTGAGAAAAATTTTAGAGTAATGACCATAAAGATCATCAAAAAACTAAAGAGAAGAATAGGTGCACAGAGAGAGAAGTTAGAAACTTTCAACAAAGAATTAGAAAATATAAAGAGCTAACAAACAGAGAGGAAGAACACAATAACTGAAATGAAAAATACACTAGAAAGAATCAACAGTAGAGTAAATAATATGGAGAAAAAGATCAATCAGCTGAGTATCAATAAGACAGAGTATCAGAAATCATTGATGCTTAACAAAAGAAAAGAATGAAAGGCAATGCAGACAGTTAATGATGCTTCTGAGATGATATCAAGCATACCAGTATTCACATTATAGGGTTCCCTGAAGGAGAAGAGAGAGAGAAAGGGTATAAACATATCTGGAGACATAATAGCTAAAAAATTCCCTAACCTGGGAAAAGAAACAGTTATCCAAAACCAGTAAGTGCAGAGAATCTCATACAGGATGAATTCAAAGAGGAACACACCAAAACACATTGTAATTAAAATGACAAAATTAAAGGTAGAGAGTATTAAAAGCAGCATAGGAAAAGCAATGCATAACACTTAAGAAAACTCCCATAAGATTATCCACAATAAGCAGATAAGAGATACAGAAAATAATTAGATGTAAAATATAATATCAGAAACAGTAATCATGAGGGGAGCAGAGTACAATGCAGGATTTTTANACTGAAGTGACTTAGCAGCAGCAGCAGCAGATAGTAACCTCATGGTAACCATGAACCAAAAATCTATCATAGAAGAAGAAAGGGAAAAAAAGAAGAAAGAACTTCAAAAACAAACCCAATACATTAACAAAATAGCAATAAGAACATACGTATCAATAATTACCTTAAGTGTAAATAGACTAGATGCTCTAACCAAAAGACACAGAGTGGCTGAATGGTAACACAAACATGGAACAAGACCTGTATATCTTCTTACAAGACTCGCTTCAGATGTAGACACACACATAGGCTGAAAGCGAAGGAATAGAAAAAAGGTGCTCCATGCAAATAGGTATCAAAAGAAAGCCAGAGTAGTGACATTTTATCACACAAAACAGTCTCTATAATAAAGAGTGTTATGAGACAAAGAAGGATACTACATACTGATCAAGGAATTGATTGAAGAAGATAAAATAATTTTAAACGTCTATGCACACAACGTTGCTGAAGCTGAAGCTCCAATACTTTGGCCACCTGATGCAAAGAGCCAACTCATTAGAAAAGACCCTGATGCTGAAAAAGGTTGAAGGCAAAAGGAGAAGGTTAGATGGCATCACCGACTCAATGGACATGAATTTGAGCAAAGTAGTGTGCTGCAGTGCATGGGGTCACAAAGAGTCAGATACGACTTAGCAATTGAACAACAACGTTACCTCTATCTAATTGATGGTTTTAGCCACCACCTCCTCAATTTCCCATCCTGTCAGACCCTGAAGCTAACCATATATTAAAAAGATCATACACAATGATCAAGTGAGATTTATCCTAGGGACATAGGTATGGTTCTATTTCCACATATCAATCGATATGATACACTCCATTAACAAACTGAAAAAGAAAAAACATATAATCTCAATAAATGGAGAAAATATTTTGACAAAATTAGAATTCCATTTATGATACAAAAAAAATCTCTAGAAAATGGGTATAGAGGCAACATATCTCAACAATATTCCAGGCCATATATAAAAAGCTGACTTCATACTTAACAATGAAAAGCTGAAAGCAGGAACAAGACAATGATTTCACTATAACCACTTTTATTCTATGTAGTGTTGAAAGTCCTAGCCACAGCAATCAGAGAATAAAAAGAAATGAAAAGAATCCAAGTTGAAAAGAAAGAAAACTCACTATTTTCAGATTACATACTATACATAGAAAATCCTAAAGTTGCTATCAGAAAGCTACTAAGGCTCATTAATAAATCATGTAAAGTTGCTTGGTACAAAATTAACATATAGAAACCTGTTGCAATCAATACTCAGAAAAGTAAATTAAGAAAATCAACACATTTACAGCTGCATCAAAGACAATAAAGTACCTGGGAATAAACCTATGTAAGGAGATAAAAGATCTATCCTAATAAAACTATAATATACCATTAAAAAATTAAAAACAACACAAATAAATGGAAAGATATCCTTTGTTCATGAGTTAGAAGAATTGATATTTTTAAAATGACCATACTCCCCAGGGCAATGTACAGATCCAATGGAATCTCTATTAAAATACCAATGACATTTTTCACAGAACTAGAAAAATAAATTTCAAATCTGTATAGAAACACAAAAACCCCAAAGAGCCAATACAATTTGAGAAAGAACAGAGCTAGAACTATCCCATTCCCTCACTTTAGACTATGCCATGACACTACAGTTATCAAGACAGTATAGTACTGGCACAAAAACAGCCATATAAATTAATCAAACAGAATAGAGAGCCTAGAAATAAACCCACACAGTTATGGTCAATTAATCTATGACAAATGAGGTTAAGACTGTACTAGAGAGAAGTCTCTTCAATAAATGGTACTGGGAAAACTGGAGAGCTATATGTAAAATACATGAGATTAGAATGCTTTTTAACACTATATACAAAAAGAAACTCAAAATGGATTAAATACCTAAATATAAGACTGGAAACCATAAAACTCCTAGTAGAAAATATAGGAAGAACACTGACATAAATGATAACAATATTTTTTGGATCTCTTTCCCAAGCCAGAAGAAACAAAAGCAACAGTAAACAAGTGGGACATAATCACTTAAAAATTTTTGTAGAGCAAAGGAAACTATCAACAAAGCAAAAAGACGACCCACTGAATGGGAGAAAATACTTGCAAATGATGTAACTAATAAAGGGTTAATATCCCCCCCCCCCAAAAAAAAGCCAGGTCATATTACTCAACATCAGAAAAACAAGTAGCCCAAATAAAAAATGGTAGAAGAACTGGATACAGTTTTTCATAGAAGACATACAGATGGCCAACAGGCACATGAAGAGATGTTCAACATTGTTAATCATCAGGGAAATGCAAATCAGAACCACAATGAGGTACCACCTTACATCTGTCAGAATCAGTTCAGTTCAGTTCAGTTCAGTCGTGTCTGACTCTTTGCGACCAGAATAGCTATCATCAAAAAGAACACAAATAGCAAATGTTGGTGAGGATGTGGAGAAAAGGGAACCCTCCTATTCTGTTGGTAGGAATGTAACTTGGTGCAGCCACTATGGAAAACACTATAAAGGTTTCTCCCAAAACTAAAAATACAACTAACTACAACCCAGCATTCCACTCCTGGGTATATATTCCCACAAAAGAAAAGCACTAATTTGAAAATATATATGCACTCCCCGCCAATGTTCATAACAGCATAATTTGCAAATACCAAGATATGGAAATAACCTAAGTATGCATCAACATGATGGATAAGGTATAGATAGTGAAGTGAAAGTTGCTTAGTCATGTCCGTGACCCCAGGGACTGTCCGTGGAATCCTCCAGGCCAGAATACTGGAGTGGGTAGCCTTTCCCTTCTCCGGGGGATCTTCCCAATCCAGGGATTGAACCCAGATCTCCCACATTGCAGGTGGATTCTTTACCGGCTGAGCAACAAGGGAAGCCCAGGAACACTGGAGTGGGTAGCCTATCCCTTCTCCAGTGGATCTTCCCAACTCAGGAATCGAACTGGGGTCTCCTGCATTGCAGGCAAATTCTTTATCAACTGAGCTATCAGAGAAGTCCTAAAGTATAGATAAAGTATTCCTATATATATATACATATAGATGAATATGAAAATTTGTCATTTGTATCAACACTAATGGACTTGGAGGACACTATGTTAAGTGAAACAAGTCAGAAAGAGAAATATAAACACTGTATGATATCACTTATATGTGGACTATAAAAAATACAACAAACTAGTGAATATAACATAAAAGAAGCAGACTCACAAATATAGAGAACAAGCTAGTGGTTACTAGTGGGTAGAGGGAAGTGGAAAGGGGCAATATAGCGGTAGGGGAATAAGTGGTACACACTTTTAGGTTATAAAACAATCTACAAGATACATTGTGTAGCATAGGGAATAAGACCAATATTCTATAACTATAAATGGAGCATAACTTCTAAAACTGTGAATCACTATGTTGTATATCTGAAATTTATATAATATTATACATTAATTATAACTCCATAAAAAGTAAAACAAATAAAAAGTAAAATACATTATTTCCCTTTTTACACTGTGTAAAAACAATATTGAGAAAAACTGTGATGTCTTAAAACAAATCAAACAGTAGTATAAAACTGTATTAAATGCAATTTTTCACAACTAGACAAACACAGTAAAAACAACTGTTTAATTTAATTGCATCATTGAGGAAGGAGTAAAAGTAACTTTCTAAGTCTTACTCCTTGAATATGAATTTTTATTATTCTGTGTAATGAAAGGAGAAATATGCACAATGCATTTCTATAGCAGATCAAAATATAATGGGAGCCCTAAATTATTTCTCATTGTGTTGTGGGGTCAACTAACCACTTTTTAAAATAGAAAGGCACTTTTACCTGAGAGGATGATAGACATGAAAATTATAGTTAATCAAGACTTGGCTATCTAATAGACATTTTTCTTAAAAATTAATAAAGCTGTGCTTCATTTCAAGAAAAAGAACTGACAATATTTGTCACCAATGAAAAAAATTGAGGTTTCTGCTGAGAAGTAAAATTTTAAAAAATTTTTATCCACTGTTGTGTAACATATTTCCAATTTTGGCAAAATACCTTGATGACATCATATTCATATTAATAAAGGTGAACCTTTGATGATGTAATTAAGAAATGTGTCATCACTTAGAAGATATTTATTAGTGAATGAATCTTTTCCAAATAATCAAGATAAATTATGACAAATTTATGCTTGGTTAAATATTTATTCAACTTACAAGATATACTGATGGATATTATTTTAACAGATTAAGAAATGTTCAGTAATATATTTTCAGATTTCAAACTTTAATCAATAGCTAGTAAATGATCATCAGTTAAGTTTTAGTGAACAACCATACATAAACTTAAGGCTTCCAAAATATGCCACCTTTCAAAAACTACATGCCTATGTAAGGCTGCATTTTTTTTCAAATATTTTAAACAAAACAATAATGCAACAGATTGAGTTCAGAGTCAGATACTCACTATCCAATGAGAATCCAGTTATCTTCAATTAAGCAAACATGAAAGATATTTGAAAAATATAAAACATGACACTATTCTCACTAATTTTTTTAAATTTTGGAAATAGTTTTTTCTACCAAAATGTTACATAGTTCAATATGTAATGGGTTTATTGGTGATATATTTAAATAGGTTGATAAATATTTTCTAAATTCTTCAGTTTTAATTTCCAAACATGATAAATGCTAATAGATATAATTGAACCTGAAGTTCCTTGGGGAGCTCAACAATTTTTAAAAGTGCAGATACATGAAGCAGGGCATTCAAAGCTGGTGCTCTGGGGCAACCCAGAGGGACAGGGTGAGGAGGGAGGTGGGAGTGAGGTTCAGGATGGGAGAACACATGTGTACCCGTAGCTGATTCATGTTGATATGGCAAAAACCAACACAATATTGTAATTATCCTCCAATTGAATAAATTAATTAATTTTAAAAAAGAAAAAAATGCAGAGGTGTTCTGAGAATCATTTGCTTTAAACCACAGACTGATAAAGAAGAGGATTGAAGATGGAGGACAGATAGAAATGTTCCCCATTTTTCTATGGCTTTCAGTTCAGTTCAGTTTAGTCACTCAGTCGTGTATGACTTTTTGCGACCCCATGGACTGCAGTACGCCAGGCTTCCTGTCCATCACCAACTCCCGGAGTTTACTCGAACAACTGTCTATTGAGTCGGTGATATTGTCCAATCATCTCATCCTCTGCCATCCCCTTCTCCTCCTGCCTTCAATCATTCCCAACATCAGAGTCTTTTCAAATGAGTCAGTTCTTTGCATCAGTGGCTATGGCTTTAATTCTAAGTAATTTGGACTAATAGTAGAAAAAAAAGCATATAATGGTAACCAGATATCTGACATAATTTATAATCTCCTCACTAAGGTCTTAAGGACCTTGCCACACATTCCTTCAGATACAAATTTTTAATAGAAAACCATTTAATTCTATTATACATGTTACAAAGTTAACTCATAATGGTTTTAGTTGAGAAGGAATTAAAGCTGTATTAGTATCATAAGACTGTGTGGAGGGTGTTAAAATTAAATAATTTTCACTCTTCAACAAACTCAGTATATAAGAACTGGAGTTTCTCTCAATAACAGAAATAATTAGAACTTACTTGCATAAAGAAATACCATGGCTTGGGCACACCATACTTTCCTGGAAAGACAGCATCTATATACCAGGTCAGAAGGCCATATAAGAAGGCATCAAATAAAAGCATTCCCATAATTTGAGCAAGAGTGAGTTCATCATCTGGACTCACTTGTGACAAGAAGTTATTCCACTTAGCACCGTCCTCTGAAATATAATAGGATATAGTTACTTCAGGTGCCCAAATGTGATTAAAACAAAATTACCTATCAGCTTTATAATTAAACAGAGAAGAAAAGTGCACTGATATTCTCTAGCTATAGATACTACTTACTGCTTTCTGATACTTTAAATTTTAGGTTGCTCAAAGAGATAATGAAGTAGTAGTGAAATGGGTCTCTGCCGAGAGCCAGACATGTTGATTAAAATGTTAGTAGGTGACTGAAACAAAAATAAGCAACCATAAATAAGTCTTCGTAAAATAAGACTCAAAGCAATAAGCAGACCTATTGCTTGAGATGGTGGTCCTATCTCTCCATTCTCTCTCATGCTGATTTCCATCAAAATAACCAGCAGGGTATATAAAATTGGAAAGGTATTCATCAATATAAAAAAAATAAGGTTCAGCTTCCAGTTTCTGGTTTGGAAAAAGAACTTAAAATTCACCACTCCATCCTAACAAGTAGGAAGCTGAACTGAAAAGTCTATAACTCTTCTTAGATCAATCAGATAAGTGAGGTCACAGGGCAACACACTGTCCCTAAAACTGGAGAGGCAGATAGGCAAATACAGAGAATATAATTTAATGGAGTAGAAACTCTAAACAGAATCTCTAAAAGATCCAGTTAACAAATTGCTGGGGACTTTCTAGGACAAGTCTAAAGAATTAAAAAGTCCAGGGGTGTTCAAGTCATAAGGAACTTGTGAATTCATGTTTTTGTCAATTTACCTCCAAGATCCTTATCAGTTTCTCACAGCAAATATAGGAGAAAACTCCCCTCATGCTTCCAGGAATCATGGAAGAAGGGAAGAAGGAACCATTTTGAAATGTGCCAGAGCATTCTATTCTTAATTAGGCCTGATTCATGAGAAAGTATTTTACCAGAGCATAACCGACCTAGGGGAAGGAAAAGTCCAACCTGCTCTATTCATATTGTCTCTTCTAGAGAGGAAAAATCCAAGAAGCACTGATGATTTCATAGATCAGCAACATAAGCTTATCGAAAGACTATAGCCCAATCATAGTACTATGGAATCCTTTCTCTCCCCACTACACCTTACCTCTATGTCACTAATGTCCTATTTACTATATTTCCTATTCCCTAGACCCTCATGTACACATTTTAACAAAAATTTACACAGCATACTAAAGGGAAAAAAACACCGTTTGAAGCAACTAAAGCAGCATCAGAATCAGACTCTGATATGCAAAATGTTGGAAATATTAAACCAGGTCTATTATAGCATTGAAACATGTATATTATCATATGTGAAACAGATCGCCAGTCCAGGTTCAATGCATGAGACAGGGTGCTCAGGGCTGATGCACTGGGATGATCCTGGGGGATGGGATGAGGAGGGAGTTGGGAGGGGGGTCCAGGATGGGGAACACATGTACACCCATGGCTGATTCATGTCAATGTATGGCAAAAACCACTACAATATTGTAAAGTAATTAGCCTCTGATTAAAATTAATCAATAAATAAACAAACCAGGACTATTTAAAATCATGATTAACATGATAAGGCCTTGAATGGAAAAAGTACACAGCATGTAAGGATAGACTGATAATGTAGAGAGATGGATAAGAAAGAATCAAAAAGAAATGCTAAGTCCTTGGCATGGCTGTGGTGGGGAAAACGATGGGCAGGAAGGAGGGAGAAAAGCCTGAGAATCCACAGCTAGCTAAAGCCTCTGGATTAATGGGACAAAGTGCCACTTGAAAAGTGCTGAGAAGCAATGAGCTGAAGGAGAAACTTCATTTCTCAACAATGCTTATAAAGATCTGCAAGTTTGGATTTGGTAGTCAGACAACAGAAAGCATCAACTTGTTTATGAGACTTGTATCAAGTATGTCTGAACTAACAAAGCTGTTTCAGCTTTTGCTCCAATAAATCCTTTCAGTAGCAGCAGCTTTTAAAGAAGATGAAGAGAGCAAACCAGAGGAAATGCCTCCTAAAAATAAAGATGGGGGGAAATATTAGACAAACACTAACATCAGCAGGACCAGACTCATTCAGTAAAGGAAAACATGGGTTTTCTGACAACCAGGAGCTACGGGAGGGAAATATAAAATCTCATCTTGGAAAAGTCCATGACTAAGACCTGTTAAATAAACGATTATGAAATCAAGGTATGATGCAGATGTAATTTAAAATGAGCAGTTTCCTTTAAAAAAAATAAAATTGTATTTAACTATCTTTGGAGCCACTTTAAAAAAAAAACACTATCACATGAGAGCTTGAAATTAGAAGTAATTTGTACACAGATTTCAATACATTTGCTAATTTTTTTAGTTTCATACTATTAATTTCTAAAGATTGCAGATAATAAAGAAATTAGAACCTTTTAAAGAATTGCCCCTTTTTAGATCTAACTGATTAGACTAGCTCACTAAACCAGAGCAAAAAGTTACTATTTAAACAGCAAGCAATTACTCTTTACCTTAACTCTCTCATTACCTAGAGCAGTCTAGCTCCCAGGAACTGCCTTATAGAAAAGGAGTATTGTATTAAGAGGAAAATGCTACTAGACCATGGACTAAAAGTAAATTTACATAAAAATAACTACAGCATTTTTTCCTTATGGGCATTTGTTTTGTTTCAAGTCATCATCAAGTAGGTTAGCAATGGCAGCATTGTTATCAGTGAAGACAGCTGTTTAGCTCTTTATTTTTTACTTTCCTGGCGGTCCAGTAGTTAAGAATCTGCCATACTATGCAGGGTACACCGGTTTTGCGGGGTGTGGAGGGAAGGACCTGAGCCCACTTGCCACAATTGTTGAAGCCTCCATGCTCTAGAGCCTGTGCTCTGCAACTAGAGAAGGCCCATGCTCCACAAAGAAGAGACAGTAGAGAAAAAATAAAATAACAAAAATATATTTTACAATTTTATTTAAACTATTGAGTATTTTAAATAGTACACTTCAACTTAATGGATCATGTCTACTTTCATGGAGAAGGCAATGGTACCCCACTCCAGTACTCTTGCCTGGAAAATCCCATGGATGAAGGAGCCTGGTGGGCTACAGTCCATGGGGTAGCGAAGAGTTGGACATGACTGAGGGGCTTCACTTTTCACTTTCATGCACTGGAGAAGGAAGTAGAAACCCACTCTAGTATTCTTGCCTGGAGAATCCCAGGGACAGAGGAGCCTGGTAGGCTGCTGTCTATGGGATCGCACAGAGTTGGACACGACTGATGTGACTTAGCAGCAGCAGCTACTTTCATTAATCTTCAAAGAACAATCCTTCGCTATCAAAGTAAATCAGTATTTTGAATGTGCCTCTTTTTATGCCGTTATTAGAGCTTGAAGCAAACAATAGGAAGCTGTTTATTTTAAAATACAAACTACAACCCCAAATTTTAATATGTATGTTGTTTAATATTTGGCTGCTTTTAATTTTTAACTGTATAAACACCAAATAATTACACTGCATAAAAATGGAAAGTAAAAAGATGCATTTTCTATAACATTGTCAAAGCATTTGTAAAAGCATTTACTAACGTGAAATCCAATTTGAACTGATCTTAATACAGGATTTCTTATTATAACACTATAATATTGTATCTTAAATGTATACATTGAATAACAGCCTCTGAAAACAATGGCCTTTCAGAACACTTTCTACATTTTCCATAGAAGGAAAGTAAGTCCAACTTTAAATATTTTATGGAATCTCTGACCACATATACTTTGTTAGATCTGTGTGCCATATGGTGGTTTGAAGTTGTTTGTTTTTGTATTTTTGAGTTATATGTAAACATTTTAATGTGCTGGTTAAATTTATAGTCAAATACAAGAGAAACATGCTATATGCTGTTTCTTCATTCATACTAACAATTTCCTTGAAAACTCCTACAGTGTTTAATTTGGAGGCAGCTTTAGACTATTCTATTGGTGAAAACTACTTGCTGAGCCCTTTTAATAGGTAATTATGTCAGAGAAGCAGACTCAGTATATTGTATTATATGCTCTTATATATAATTATCCTAAATAACTCAAAGTAAAACAATGAAATATATACAAAACTATTAGTTCCTACTTACATGATTTAATTATATCAGGATACATAAACTGAACTTGAACTTATTTTAATGTAGACACACTATCCATTTTAGTCCATTTTACTGTTTATGTTAAAATAACATTACTTTCCTAAATATTATTTTCTTGACCATGCTGCACTGTTGGTGGGAATACAAACTGGTACAGCCACTATGAATAATAGCATAAAGTTTCTCAAAAATTTAAAACATATGTTCCAGCGATCCAACTAAGTATATATACACACACACACACACACATATATATACAGAAAAAGAAAACAGGACTTTTTAAGACTATATCATTTTTCAAAATAGCCAAGACATAAAAACTATCTGAGTATCTATCAATAGACAAACAAAGAAAATGTGGTATATATATTCACAATGAAATATTATTCAGCCACAAAGATAAAGAAATCTTACCATTTGCAACAACATGGATAAATCTGAAGGATACACTATATTAAGTGAAACAAGTCAGACACAGAAAGAGAAATATTGTGTGATCTCACTTGCATGTTAACAGTGTTTGCCAAGGGCTGTGCTTTGGGGGAAATGGAAAGATGCTTGTCAAAGGATTCAAGCTTCCAGCTATAAGATGAATAAATTCTGTGTAGCTAATGTACAGTATAGTGAATATAGTTAATAATTTAAATATGCTTGAAATTTGCTGAGAAGGTAGTTCTTTTCTTCCTAATGTAATTATTTATTTTAAAATTTAAATTAATTAATTTATTTTAATTGGAGGCTAATTATTTTACAATACTGTGGTGGTTTTCGCTCTAAGTGTTCTTAACACACATACACTAAGTAACTATGGTAGCTCAGCTGGTAGATATTCCGCCTACAATGCAGGAGACCCCAGTTCAATTCTTGGGTCAGGAAGTTCCCCTGGAGAAGGGATAGGCTACTCACTCCAGTATTCATGGGCTTCCCTGG